CCTTAACAAACTTCTCCAGGTAATTCCTCAACCAATTCAACATCTCCTTCAAGTACCCAATCTTTACTTCACCAGCCTGATAAAAGACAAAAAGGTTTAAATATCAATATCTCCAATATATGAAAGCCGGATAGGCTCATTTCTGAGAAGATAAAAAAACTTAATGCGTTATAACAAGTTATAATCTCATTATAACGACTCAGTTATCTCGTTGTAACGATTTAGTTATCTTGTTATAATGAGTTAATTATCTTGTTATAACAAGTTAGTATCTCATATAACGACTAAGTTATCTCGGTATAACGAGGTAGTTATCTCGTTATAAAGAGTTAAATATCTTGTTATACCGAGTTAGTATCTCGTTATGATGACTTGAGTTATCTTGTAATAACGATTTAGTTGTCTTGTTAAAACAACTCAGTAATCTCATTGTAACGAGTTTGTTATCTCGCTATAATGAGTTAATTTTCTCGTAATAACGAGATAACTAAGTCATTATGATGAGTTAATTTTCTCGTTATAATGAGTTTATTTATCTCATTATAACAAGTTAATTTTCTCATATACCGAGTTACATGTAATTGTCTCGTTATAACAAGTTAAAAACTGGTCTAAATGTGATATATCTTAGTGATAGGTAGTAATTAAAACCGAGTCGATCAAGTTTGCAGGTGCATCCAAATTTAACGCCTATGACCTAATTGCTAATGTCTCCATATTCCCCTTCTTCAAAACATTTCTGACTATCAAAATAATATTTATCCCATGTTTAACCCTTTATCCCGTTTATATAGCTCATGTGATATCGTTTTCATATCACACAGTTGTGACATCACAATGGATTTTGCATTAGAGTGACGAAGTAAAATGAAATGGGGTCCTATATAAAAAAACAAGTGTCAAACATTTTCGAAGTGTAAAAAAACATGGGAAAAAAAGAATCTCACATGATTTGTATTTGGATATGATTTTTTTTCCAACTTGTTGGGTGTTTTTATCCCCTCGCCAAGGCTCAGGGATAAAAACCACACAACTCGTTGGATAAAAATCATATCCAACTACAAATCATGTGAGATCATATATATATCACACTAATTTCAATAAAGTGAGGTCAAGGTCAAATGCCATGGTCAACTCAAAAAATGTTGATGCAGTTGAAAAGCTCTCATGAATATGTATCAGATGAAGTTGAAAAAAATATTATAAATGGTTCCTTTAAAACTGACTTAATTCAGAGAATTTGTGTCCCCCACTTAGGGAAAAAGTAAACCAGGCGCAGTTCGGGGGGAGGGGGGGGGGATGGGGGGTCAGATCCCCTTGACTGAATTTGTAGAATTATTAAATTGATACATGTATACTGAAGCAAATAAAATATGCAGCCCTATAAAGGTTTGATTGCTTATTCTTTATTATGTGTATAGAAGATTCTATTTATATGGAATATTTATCACACTGTAATGATGATTTTATGAGTTTGTACAAGCCAGACCTCATAAATTTTCATTTCTCATGTTGAATACTATCATTTAGTAAAAACAAAGTTTTTCGAGAAAAAATATGGATCTTTCGGGATGCGAACCCGGGCCCTCTCACATGTGAAACGAGAGACATACCACTAGACCATGGGGCCGCTTTAACCTCGCTAAAATTATATGCAAAGATGTAGTCACATACATGTACATGTATATTTAAAGAATATAAAGTCAACCGAGAACCTGTTTTATACGTAATAACTCTCCTCATACCCCTGTGCTAAAAATAGCGACATATAATTAATACAATAAATACTAGTGAAGACAAACGGGGTAGGACACTTTGAGAGGGCTGAGAGAGGTCCTAGGGAGTTTTGATATAAAATAACATTGCAAAAGCTCAAAAACTCCTTGAAATATTGCCCAGAAATGATAGTGTTTCAGACAGCTCAAATTGAAGCCATTTGGGGGGAGCTGTCTTATTGTCCACACAGAAATTAAATTATAAGGTGTGCACTGAGTTCAACTGTTTCCTCAGAGGTATCTAAATAGAATGTTCAAAATAACCCAATTAATCATGGCAAAGTTAGAGATGATGGTTTCATCATTTTCAATGGTTCTGAGACTGAAATTCTCGATTTCTTTGAACTTAGCAATCAGTGCCATCCGCACTTAAAATTCACCTTTGAAATCTCTGTTGATTCAGTGAGCTTTATTGACACAATAGTGTGTAAAAGAAGAAAATTTCAAGAATCAAACAAACTTGATTTCAAATCTTATATAAAACCATCATACAATTTTAAATATCTACACAGAGAAAGTTCTCACATCCTGGTGGTATTCAAAGGTTTTATTAAAGGTGAATGCATACGTGTAAGACTTGTGAGAAATACCAATGACACTGAAACTCTAAATTTTATTCTACAAGACTTTAAGAAAAACTTGTCAAAGAGAGGCTACTCTGATACAGAAATAGAACCTATTATCACAGGTATAATTGGAACAGGCAGAAATGAGATCCTAAATAAAGCAACAGCCAATTGAGAATCCACAATGAATTGATAATGGTTACAAAATAATTATAATAAGAGAATCAAAGGATTAAAAAACGCATCTTAAAATATTGGAAAAAATGAAAACAGACACAAGATGCAAAGAAATATTTACATTGGAACCAATTTCAGCAAAGAAAAAAGCATAGGCGATATAATTATTGGATCACGTTTACCACAAGAACACACTGCTAGAAAGGACTCCTGAAGAGGCAGACCTTAGGGCAAGTATCCGTTACAAAAACTTCCGAAACACTCTTTAATATATTTGTATATACATTTAATTTAATGAATGCTTTATTACCAACAGAAAAGAATGTCGCAAAGTTTGGTTTAGAGTGTAGGGTCTTAATAAATTTCATGGATAAGTCTGGCTGATTTATGTCTTTGTTTTATAACCTTAATTTGATAAATAAAGTAGATCTACTCGAATGATTATTAATTACAAACTAGAAATATATCCATTGGAGATTAATGCCCCGTCGAATGTTTATTACCAATGTAACATGAAAATTTGTATTAGTGTAGTATGAATCTAGAAAATAAATCCTCACCAAATCATGTATAAGTAAATGCTATATCTTTTGTCTTTATAACTAAGCAAAATACAAATTAAAGAAAGGGGAAGTTAAGATGACAAGAATATTCAAGAGGAAAAGTTTTTGATACAGTTGAATAGCTCTTACAATGTACTAATACATATCGGAATAAAAGGTTTGATAAAAATGTCTTGATTTATTTATTTAAAACGGAGCTCAATACCATTTAAGAAAAGAGAGATCAAGGTAAAAAGGACCTGTTAACGATTTATTTAAATTGTGATTTGTTTTAAAAACGTCGGTCAACATTTGATTTATAGATAATTGTACATGTATTTGCTATCAATGTCATTTTATCATGCACAGAATTTGCAAAATTTGACTTTTATCAAGATTGTTGATATCTTTGTATCAACTTATTTGCCAATGACGTGCCTGTTTAGTAAATATTCATCCATGAACGTAGAGCATGCGGTCCTGCACACTGCACACCTTATCAATTATGTGGAGGACATGAACTCGATATGCTGGTGACAATAGTAAATTGCTGCATAAATAAGGGACGATATACTCTTTAGTGTCTAATACTTTAAATTCGATGGGATATTAACGTAATAATGAAGAATATTGATTTTTTTTTAATTGCTAAAAATAATTAATATAGATTGTCTCCCTTTCATATAGTATGTTTTGAAAAATCTGCTCGGAAGCTAAAAATCTACTGTTATAATCTTTTTACTAAAAACTGTATCAAACTTAAGAGAAAGTATATTTTGTAAAAGTATTTAGTGAGTTAAAGTATCACTTTATAATATTGATATCGCCCGCCCCTGAATGAAGGTCTGTCTCCGATATTCTTAAATTATACGAAACCTCGAGTCCTCGGTATATATTAATTAACATTGATTATCTTGCTCATTTTAAAGTTCACTAGTTGATTGAAGCTTTGCATCTAGTCTGAATGTAAAGTGTCAGAGGTCAAAAACAAATCATTATTCATTTATTGACTAGCTTCGAGGGCAACATGCGTATTGTCGGATTCTTGAACCAAACTGTCTGCCTGAGGTCATTAGGCAAACAGTTTGGTTCGAGGGTCGACAAAACGTATTTGCCCGAGAACATAGTCAATAAATATTTATTATACCTTTTCATTTATTTACTTTTTTTTTACATATATGTATTTTGTACTATCTTCCGCGATGTAACCTCAGGTCCTTACTTTTGAACACCAACAAATGAAAATAAGATTAAGCTCCGCCTATTTTGTGACGCAATCAAGCATCTCATCGACCGGTCCAACATCTCACTTAGCGGACCAAAATCGTTTTTTATGCCTGCTTAGGAAAATATTAGAAATTTTAGACTTTTTCGTATAGATTTGTATATAGGAACAAATTTTTAAAGGTTTAACAAAACAATTCATTGTCCGTCAAATGATTGATTGATTGTATACTGTTTAACGTCCCTCTCCAGAATATTTCACTGATATGGAGACGTCACCATTGCCGGCGAAGGGCTGCAAATTTAGGCCTATGCTCGGCACTCAGGGCTATTGAGCAGGGAGGGATCTTTATAGTGCCACACCTGCTGTGACACGGGGCCTCAGTTTATACGGTCTCATCTGAAGGACCGTCCCATTTAGTCGCCTTTTACGACAAGTAAGGGGTACTGAGGATCTATTCTAACACGGATCCCCACATGAAGTCGCTGCTCTTATTGTATCTAATCTCAAAATTTGTAAACAAGTTCACAACGAGGTTCCTATAAACATTGATAGCATCAATTACAATTCAAAACAGAATATTAAAAATATTAATAAGCGCAAAGTACAAATTTTGTGTATGAATAAATTGATATTAACAAATGCGATACATTTCATAATCAACAACAACAATGGCATCCAATTTTTTTCAGTTTAGCTCATGCAAACTCACTTTCAGATTATTTATTATCTTTCGCTGTCCACATCAATGACTTGCCAGACTCCTTTCGAACGTATTTCCTGTAAATCATATGCTCCTCTCACATGCCCCGTTGGACTGGATGTCATGTAAATAAAAAAGCAAGGCCTGCTCAAGGGAGACATTACATAATAGGGCAGTCTATCTTCAATGAACCTGATGATCTTCCATTTTCCTTCTGGTCCAGGTAAACCTTCTACAGACCCACAATATCCGAGTTGTCCACTTTCCATAATCATGTAATAGGTAGGATACTTCACAGACCTGATATGAAAAATGTTATCAATTACTCGTTCTTTAACTTCTTCAAAAAGAAACTTGCAAGCTCTTTTTCGTAAATTTTTCTCTCCCCAAATTGATCCTTGTCTATCCCATCCAAACTTCATATGCCATTCAGGCCATTTTGCTGGGCGAATAAGATGCATTTTAGAGCAAAAGGTATCATCTTCATCTAACCGAAAAGGGTTAATGGATTTCACACGCATGAAATGCTGAAAATGTCTAAGTTCTGTTGGGTTGAAAATGGTCAAGAAGACAATTTTCTCGAAACTTGGTTTCGTAACGTTCTCCACCATTTCGCAATCTGTCTTGTCGGTTTCCTTGATAACGGCGTAAACGCCACTAGTGCTAGCTTGGTCAACATTACTACTTTTCTTTATTGCATAAAGTTGCCATAGAACTAATGTCCTCAAAATCGCCAAGCGTGAGTAGAGATCTATGTAAGCGACAGCACGACTAACAGACTTTATGTCTGGTTTTGTCATAAGATTTTCTATCTTTGCCTTTAGTTTTCCCAGAAATTCTACTCCTTTATAAATCGGAACTCTATCCTGAAGAGTCTTTATTTCTTCGTCATTTGCCTCGTCATGAATTCCTTTTAAGTACGCGTGTGTTGTGTAAAACAGATCTTCAAGTCCACATGCTTCTGACGTAATTTCAGAATCTTGAAATCGCTCAAAAGGTGCATATGTTTCATCTTCTTGGATTTTTTGGACATTCACTCTCATTTTATCTCCGACATCTTGAAAAATACTTGTTATTGTTCCAAGGGTTTTAGCCACAGATTCGGCTACCGGAACATTCTCTGCGATTTTCTTGGAGCATTGGCATACCTTCGCTAGTTTGGAAAAAATATCTTCCTGTACTTCTTCTTCTACACACTTGTGTAATTCAGATACAGTGTTGCCTGTTTCTTTTGAATTTTTAGGACCTTTAAATACCTTGCCTAACTCTTTTTCAATGTTTTCTTCGTCAAGTTTTATCTTTTGAAAAGATATGTCTCCATCCACAGTAAAATGTCCACTACTTACCGCCATGCTATGTAAAAAGAAATATGAATTCAGATATTAAATTATGATTAACTTGGTCAGACGATACGTTCCCAAAATATATGTATAGTATATCTTCATAATATATGGAAAAAATATACATTGTCAACATTTTTAATTATTTTTTTAAATTTCTAAACGGGTTTCTAATTGTTTTAAAAATTTGAAACACTAAAAACGTTTTTTCCTAAAGGATCACATGTATATATAAGAAATGTCATCCTCTGGTATCTCGCAAGAAGGCCTGGTAAGGTACTTGGAATTTTTGTGAGTAGCATTTATTCTTAAATGACAAAATCTTGGAAAAAATCATAAATTATTGAGGAACGTCGACGTCTCATCTGTCCTTAATAGGCAAATTGGATACTTTACTCACACGGGTAATATTAACTCTGCTATATTGTTTTTAAAAAATAAAGAAGAATCCTAATGATATTTCACACTTTATTGAAACTAGTTATTTAAAAATACACTTTTTTAATAAACTTTTGATATCATACCTGGACAGATTTTGTAGATTGTCGTCATATTCATCTGTTGCATCAATGACTGTGAACCTGGAAGAAAAATGAATGATCGATAGAATCCAAAGGAATATGTTAAGAATTGATAACGCAGATATAATAATGTTTTAAATTAAAGCAGATTCGAAACGCAGAAGTGTCAAGTTTAAGTTTAAATACTTTTCTGAGGAAAAGCTCCCACAATCAATGTCTGTTTTTGTCGCAGCTGAGCTGTCATTATTAGCAACAGAACTTCTAGAAAATGATTTCCCAAGATCATCGATATTGCCTTCCTTCTCCATATTTAAAATAATTTATCTTTAGAACCTTGTTCCTTTCATTTCTACTAGGGTTTTGTCGACAAATATTTATTTTCGTGTGGCTTTCTGACTCCCAATTTTTTTCTCAGATCGTTATATTTGTTTCCTGTATAATAAAATAATGTTATAAAAGTCTTTAAAAATCTTTTCTGATAATAAATATGGCAAACAAAATTGACATATTCAAAGTTAAAGTATCCTTATTTCTGAAATAAACATACAGATAAACTTACATCTACGCCATGTTTTTACGCAGTTCTGTTTGAAATTGCAGTTTGGAACACAAAAGCTTTTTCTCCTCCAGTGGATTTAAATACAAAAGGTGTGTCTTTACCTGCATTTAAAGACATGCAATAAACATATTGCAATCTAGAATAACGTTTATTTAGTCGTTTGTATTGATTGAAAGATAGAATTTTGGAACTGGTATCCATATCAGGATATCGGAAACATTGAAAGAGATCCAAAAGGTAAAGACAAACAAGGAACAGTGATACTTTTTACAATATTTCCCCCGATATATGGATTTTCATATCATTTCTAATCTTCGATCTAACATGCAGTTAATGTGAAATTTATGAAAAGAGCTTTAATGTAAAGGTGGTTCAATACAAAGATAGGTCAAGAGATCAAAGTTTGTGGTACCCCAGAAAGGTCTTATCACAAGCAAACGTGTGGAAAATTAAAACCAAAGCTTCAGGAAATCAAAAGTTATGGACGATCGAGGTAAAAGTCTTTGCGGACAGACTATATACGAGGGGTTATCAAAAAGTTCGTGGACTGAGGCTATAAAATTAGTACTATGTAGTCTGAGCTTATAAAATTTTTATGGAACATAAAACAACAAAATGTAAATAAATATTGAAAATTTTAGCTTGATACGTTCATTATTTTCCAAATTATTATAAAATAAAAATGACATTATATCATCACCCGGCGCCGTCGCCGTCGCCGTAAAAGTTTAGTTTTATGACGTCCGACAACGTCATTGTTTTTCAATGTCTGCTTCTTCTATCTCATACACTTATTTTTATGAGATTCCCTGGAGCTGAGTTAGGATTTTAACACGTCTTGCAATCATGCAAAACCTGGCATCAAATAATTTTTTGCAACTTTTTTGACTAGTTATAGATGTGGTACTTCATCTGTTCATTGTCCAACAGTTTACTAATTTTGATACATGTTGCATATAATATAGATTTCATACACAGACTGCATGCTTTTCACATGAAGCTCACCTCGACCAAGTCGAGGTGTTAAAGGTTTAGGTCATGTCACATTCAATCTCTCACCAGAGGGCGCGCTCCGTGTTGGAGCGGAGCGTAAAAATGCCCTCTGGTGAGAGATTGTCATGTCACATTCTCAAATAACTAAAAGCCCTACCTGGACCAAACTTGCAGGGATGGTACATCTGGGGATGCCCACTACCAGACTTACTTTTGATACTGGATCTGACCTACATTTTGCAGATGAGTGACCAGGTAAAATTTTAGGGGCAGGTCCATTTCCAAGTAAAAATAAGCCTTCCTAGACCAAACTTGCAGGGATGATGTATCTATGAAAAAAGAATGGACACTACCAGACTTGCTACGGATGCTTGATCTGACCTACATAATTTTCCAGATGAGTGACCAAGTTAATGTTTTTGGAGTAGCTCAGTAGTTGTGTGACCTGTTATGATTTTACTTGCATGGGTGATGCATCTAAGAGTCATCAATTACAGACTTGCTTTGTATGTAGGAAATGAAAGACATTTTCTTGATTAGTGAACAAGTTAAAGATTTAAATGGTACAGGTCAACCTCTACTGAACTAAAAGACCTATTTAAGGACAGATGATACAAAAAATGGATGCCTGGATTGGTATATATTTTTTGCCCTAATTTCATTGCAAATGGTGCAAATAATAAATTTCTAGAAAATAAAGAAATTCTAAACCTTCTGTGATGTTCAAAAGTATACCCTTCTGAAACTATCCTTATTAATCTATACAAATATTTTTTCATCAAATTCTATTTTTGTGCAAATTTGAATAAAAAATTAAAAACTACGCGGTGAAAGTTATTCATCTTATTCATTTAAACATGACCCAACTTGTTATTTTTTAATTCTTTACAAATGTTAGTTTGTATCATCTGCATCTGGCATTAAAAAGAACTTGCATGGACATTGTTTTCAGGATGCACACTGCATGGCTATAAAAAAATATGATGTGAGATTTGCATTACTTAAACTGATAACATTTGTCGAGATGAGTTTCGTAATCTTTGATATACCTAGGCCTATGTTTTAATAATTCAAAGCACAGTCATTAATGGTAAAAATTTACTGCAAAGTGACTCAAATTTTTGAATAAATTGGTTTCTTTAAAAATATGCGTTTTTTTCTTACCTTTCCAAGGACCAAAACAAAACACAAGTTTTTTTTTCTTACGTTTTTAGTGTGGTGCTGCCATCATATATACTTCACACCTTTGTAAATTAATTGTAAATTGGACGAGTGCCATGTTGTAAATTTTGAACTGATTAACGTAGCAGTCAACACTGTCTCTGCTACATGTACATATGTATGGCATATTCACAAAGTATTTCAACTGAAAAAAACCTTACTAAAGAAATACGAACGAGAACTCTTAATTCCTGCCTATAGTTTGCACCAATGTAATTCACTAAAAATGGCAATTTGGCTATAATTTTTTTGTTTATATGAAAAGAACAGTTCAATGGTAATTGATGAAAACTGTTCAAGTATCATGAGGGTATGATTTTAATTTTTAAGGCTAGTTTAAACTTAAAATTTGGATTTATTCAGTTGCAATTCTTTAGGAATAATAGAGATTTTTTTTTTAAAGGTCAAAGGGCCTTTGGGTTACGGATCGAACCCGAGGGGGGGGGGGGTATTTAAGTACCTGCAGTGATCCACAGACACTTGAATCTGTAATATTTTGTAACCCATGGTATACTGAATTATTTTCCCCAAGGAACAACTTCCAAAGGTGTAAATTCCACAGGTAATACACTAATACTGTCGTTACTTATATTTTTCTGTTAACTCAGTTGCAAAATACACTGTAGGACTACCAGGACTAAAGTTAAAAAAAAAAAAAAAACAAGCATTAGTCAACATCTGTAGGGTAAACTGATCGCAAGTCGAACATGACCGCGAGTCGAACGCATTTTTAACGTCACAGGGTCTACGCCTTATGATAAACAATAAATGGTAGGCAACTCTTGATTATCTGCCTTCTTTTTTACCCATCTAATCCAATCGGCAATCCTCGGCTGACTCCGCTACGCTCCATTCAAACCTCGGATGTGATTGGTGGAGGAATACGCATCAGATCCTTACATTTCTCCGCCGGAAACTGCCTTATCACTCATTTCATATTTCGCTCTGCATAACGTCCTTCGAAAATGTTTCTTAATTTGTGCAATTCTTTATCGTAAATAGGTTTTGATTACACAATCATGTCAGTAGGCTTTGAAAGCAAGAAAAAAAATGTTGAGTGTGGCACAAATTAATGCCGATTTCAAATGTATGACATTTGAAACAAATTCAAATAAGATCACATGACTGATTCAGCAAGATGGTAACTCACTATTAGGTTACAGACTACTAATTTTACCCCTATTTCATTGACCACTCAAGTAGTTCCAGTTTAAAAATAGAGGTTTTTTCTTAAAAATTCTTTGGGGTGTTTATGGGGTGGACTGATGTTATTTTTGGGTATAGATGGAAAGGAGAGGGTTTGAAAAAAAATATAAAATTGTTAAAATGTGAAATTTTGCACTTGCGCGCGTAGTAGGAAGGGTGTAAAGAGGCCCATATTTACCCTTTCCCCGAAGAGAAAGTGAAAAAAGCAGGGTAGGGGTTATTTGCGATGCCTTAGCAGGAACTGCATGCGATGGATTTTCCTGAGAGTCTGAAAAATTTTTGGACTTGAATTCTTCTTACTCTGTGCCAAGTTTCAGGTAAGTTGAGCTGGTGTAATTTTTTTAATCATTTTTTATAGTATAAAGGAATGTATAGCAAAATAATTGGTAGTCTGTGTCCTATGAGGTCAAAGGTCAAATCTCACGTTAATCAATTTACTGGCATTTTTTGGATAATTTGGAACTAATTATGCAGATTGTTGACAAATTTTATGGAAAAAATTGTAATTTGGAGAAGTTAAATGGATTTAAATAACTGAAAAGGGGGAGGGGGGCACCTGCTCAGCTTGTCAAAGGGATGACGTAATGTGTGCAATTGATGTGTGTCAAACATTTATGCAATATGAATTTTGATTCTATATATAATGTTGTAGGTGACATAAAACCCATTCCTCACCTATCCTGCTATTTTAAATGCCAAATGGAGTTCAAAAACCAAGGTATGTTTTAAACATTTGATTGTTCAGATTACACTGTTGTTAATAGGAAAGTAATGCCTAATTTCTCAAAACTTTGGCTACTTGGGGTCTGTAATTATAGTTGACACAGTTACTTATTAATTTGACACAATTACTTATTAATTATGAATGTGAACTAAAGTTGAAATTCTTAAAAATTTATTTTTTTTCAGTGGCTCATTTCTAGCTGACTGATGTGGGATTGCAAGCAGTTAGAGCCTGGATGGGTGGCTTCATAAAAAATCAGGCCAGTTGCCAGTCAGAAGTGAACAATTTTGTACCAGTAGCAGAGACAATGATCATTCAGAAAACAAGATACAGCTGTCAACAATATTACAGTCCACAACAGCCAAGTTAAAGGTATGTAGTCAACTGACTCTTAAGTTTGTATTATTTTTTTTGTGTTTGATTTCTTTTTTACACTGTTTTCATCTGTCATCATCATCTCTTGCCAATCAATGTGTACTCTCTGAAACTTTCTCTTTTTCCTTCTTCTTTTGGAATTGAATATCTGCTGTCTGATTGCTGGCACTGATCTGTGATTGTCCAAGACAGGGGAGGTCAGTAAGGTGCTCAACATTTCATATGGGATGTTTGGTCCTACTGATTTCTTCTACTCTTGTGGCATCTTGGACATCATTGTCGGTGGTCGCATATCAGACAAAATCATCATTTTTTTGACAAGGACATGTGTTTCAAGATTTTGGATAAACACTGTGCAGAAATAGTGATACACAAGACAGACAGAATTTATGTACTCCATTTTAATAGAACCTTCTCTAACCCCCCCCCCCCCCTCCCTGTTTTAGCTTCCAAGCATCTCCAGGAGTGATTATAGGTGACACAGGCATGGTATATTTTCTATGCTGAACCATTGAAAGTATATAGACATGCTTT